GTTTCCCAAGATTTTTTAAAACTTTTTCAGGAAAAAGACACACGGGCTCTCAAGGTTCTCTTAAAGTTTTTGAGACAAGTCACAAGGAGCTTTTAAATTTTGTTTAAACTTATTCAGGAAAAACACAAGGAAAATCCAAGATTCTTTTTAGGTTTCCCAAGATAAAGAAGCCCCAAGACTCTTTTAAACTTTTTCAGAAAAAAGACATAGGGGACTCTCAAGATTCTTTTAAACTTTTTCAGGAAATACACAAGGAGTACCCAAGATTCATTTAAACTTTTTCAGGAAAAAGACGCAAATGACCACCAAAATTCTTTTAGATTTTTTGAAGAAAAGACACAGAAGTCTTCTAAGATTCTTTAATTTTCTTCAGAAAAGGGACACATGAGGTCCCCAAGATTAAATTAAATATTTTCAGGGAACAGACAAAGGGCTTTCAAGATTGTTCTAAACTTTTTGTCACAAGTCACAAGTAGCTTTTAAATTTTATTTAAACTTTTTCAGTAAAAACACAAGGAGAACCCGAGATTCTTTTAAACTTTTTCAGGAAAAAGCCACAAGGGGAACCCAAGATTCTTTTTAACTTTCCCAAGTTAAAGACACAGGGGATCCTCAAGATTCTTTCAAACTTTTTCACGAATAAGACACAAAGGAACTCAAGATTCTTCTTAACTTTCCCAAGGGTTAAAGACACGGGGGACCCGTAAGGTTCTTTCTACTTTTTCAGGAAAAGACACAAGGGGAACCCAAGGTTCTTTTTAACTTTCCCAAGTTAAAAGACGCAGGGGACCCTCAAGATTCTTTCAAACTTTTTCAATAAAAGTACACAAGAGACCACCAATAGTTTTTTAGATTTTTTGTTTAAGAAAAGGACTGAGTAGGCCCCCAAGATTCTTTTAAACTTTTTCAGGGAAAAGACACAAAGGAACCCAAGATTTTTTTTAACTTTCTCAAGGGTTAATGACACAGGGGACCCCCAACATTCTTTCAAACTTTTTCAGGAAAAAGGCAAAAAGGGAACCCAAGATTCTTTTTAACTTTCCCAAGTTAAAGACACAGGGAACCCTAAAGATTCTTTCAATTTTTTTCAGGGGACCCTCAAGATTCTTTCAAATTTTTCAAGAAAAGGGCACAAGAGGCCACCAAGAGTTTTTTATATTTTTTTTTTCAAGAAAAGGACTGAGTAGGCCCCCAAGATTCTTTTAAACTTTTTCAGGAAAAGGACACAAAGGAACCCAAGATTTTACTTAACTTTCTCAAGGGTTAAAGACACAGGGGACCCCCAACATTCTTTCAAACTTTTTCAGAAAAAAGACACAAGGGGAACCCAAGATTCTTTTTAACGTTCCCAAGTTAAAGACACAGGGGACCCTAAAGATTCTTTCAAATTTTTTCAGGGGATCGTCAAGATTCTTTCAAACTTTTTTAAGAAAAGTACACAAGAGACCACCAAGAGCTTTTTAGATTTTTTTTTCAAGAAAAGGACAGAATAGGCCCACAAGATTCTTTTAAACTTTTTCAGGAAAAAGACACAAGGGAGCCCAAGACTCTTTTTAACTTTCCCAAGAGTTAAAGACACATAGAACCCCCAAGATTCTTTCATACTTTTCCAGGTTAAAGGTACAAGGGGAACCCAAAATTCCTTTTAACTTTCCCAAGGGTTAAAGACACAGGGGACTCCTAAGATTCTTTCAAACTTTTTCAGGGAAAAGACACAAAGGGAACCCAAGATTCTTTTTAAGTTTCCCAGGTTGAAGACACAGGAGGCCCCAAGATTTTTTTAAACTTTTTCAGAAAAAAGTCACAAGTGGCCACAAAGATCCTTTTAGATTTTTTTAAGAAAAAGATAAAGAAGGCTTGTGAGATTTTTTAATTTTTTTCAGAAAAAGGACACATGAGGCCTCCAATTAAATATTTTCAGGAAAAAGACAAAGGGCTTTCAAGATTATTCTAAACTTTTTGAAAAATAAGTCGTAAGTAGCTTTTAAATTTTGCTTATATTTTGTTTAAACTTTCTCAGCAAAAACACAAGGGACCCCCAAGATTCTTTCAAATTTTTTCAGGAAAAAGACGCAAGGGAACCCAAGATTCTTTTTAACTTTCCCAAGGGTTAAAGACATAGGGGACCCGCAAGATTCTTTCTACTTTTTCAGGAAAAAGACACAAAGTAACAAAAGATTCTTTTTAACTTTCCCAAGTTAAAGACACAGGGGACCTTTAAGATTCTTTCAAACTTTTTCAGAAAAAGGACACAAGTGACCACCAAGACTTTTTAAAATTTTTTTCAAGAAAAGGACAGAGTAGGTCCCCAAGATTCTTCTAACTTCCCCAAGGCTTAAAGGCACAAGGGACCCCCAAGATGATTTCAAATTTTTTCAGTGTACCCTCAAGATTCTTTCAAACTTTTTCAAGAAAAGGACACAAGAGACCACCAAGAGTTTTTTAGGTTTTTTTTTCAAGAAAAGGACAGAGTAGACCGCCAAAATTCTTTTAAACTTTTTCAGGAAAAAGACGCAAGGGAACCCAAGATTCTTTTTAACTTTCCCAAGGATTAAAGACACAGGGGATCCCCAAAATTCTTTCAAATTTTTTAAGGAAAAAGACATAGGGGAACACAATATTCTTTTTAACTTTCCCAAGTTAAAGACACAAGGGAACCCAAAATTCTTTTTAACTTTCCCAAGGGTTAAAGACACAGGGGATCTCAAAGATTCATTCAAACTTTTTCAGGAAAAGGACACAAAGGGAACCGAAGATTCTTTTTAGCTTCCCCAAGGGTTAAAGACACAGGGGACCTCCAAGATTCCTTCAAACATTTTCAGGAAAAAGACACAAGGGGAACCCAAGATTCTTTTTAACTTTCCCAAGTTAAAAACACCTGGGACCCTCAAGATTCTTTCAAACTTTTTCAGGAAAAGGGCACAAGAGGCCACCAAGATTCTTTTAAACTTTTTCAGGAAAAAGACACAAGGGAACCCAAAATTCTTTTTAACTTTCCCAAGGATTAAAAACACAGGGGACCCCCAAGATTCTTTCAAACTTTTTTAGGAAAGGGACACACGGGGCCAGCAAGATTTTTTAGATTTCTTCAAGAAAAAGACATAGGGGAACCCCTAGATTATTTTAAACTTTTTCAAGAATATGACGCAAGGATCCTTCCAAATTATTTTAAACTTTTTCAGGAAGCAGACACAAGGGAACCCAAATTTTTTTAACTTTCCCAAGGGTTAAAGACACAGTGGACCGCCAAGATTCTTTCAAACTTTTTCAGGAAAAGGACACAAGAGACCACCAAGATTTTTCTAATTTTTTTTCAAGAAAAGGACAGAGTAGACCCCCAAGATTCTTTCAAATTTTTCCGGTAAAGGACACACGGAGCCACCAAGATTTTTTTAGATTGTTTTCAAGAAAAGGACAGAGTAGGCCGCCAAGATTCTTTTAACCTTTTTCTGGAAACAGACACAAGGAAACTCCAGAATCTTTTTAACTTTCCCAAGGGTTAAAGACACAGAGAACCCTCAAGATTCTTTCAAACCTTTTCAGGAAAAAGACACAAATGGCCACCAAGATTTGTTTAGATTATTTGAAGAAAAGACACAGTAGGGCCCCAAGATTCTTTTAAACTTTTTCAAGAATAAGACAAAAAGATTCGTGAAGATTATTTTAAAATTTTTTCAGGAAAAAGACAACGGGTTACCAAAATTCTTTTAAATATTTTTAAGAAAAAGACATAAGGGTCTCCCGAGGTTCCTGTAAAATTTTTCAGGAGAAGACACAAGAGGCCTTAAGAATAGTTTAAATATTTTCAAGAAAAAGACACAAGCAGGATCTTTTTCTTAAATTACTCTGAAACATAAGAAGTTCCCAAGACAAGGGACCATCAATTTTTTTTTTAATTTTGTGAAACTAAGTTAATTTGATTCTTTTAAACTTGAAACAAAAGAATAAGATGCTCTCAAGACTCTTTTAACTTTGAAAACAATACACAAAGAGTTCTTTTTTTTTAATTAAAAAAGAAACAATAGAGGCAAAACGGTTTTTTCAAATTCTTTGAAAAATAAAATACCACAAAGACCGGCCGTCAGTACTTCATTATCATCGTCACCGATGCACATATTTAAGTATACACCCAGAGAACAATAAAAAACACGGTCAAAGACAGCGATGAATTTTTGAAGATTTGTCTTTGAATTTTCGTCTTGTCAGATTATCGTCAACTTGAAAGTTTGACTTGAAAATGCGACAATCAAAGACAAACTTCAAAATTTCATGATTGTATTTGATCGTGTTTTTTACAGTGAAATTTTGCCGGTCCAATAAAATTTAGTGGACACAAAAATAACGTTCCGCGACTACTTATAACATCCATATTAATCAAGCTCTTTTCGCTTAAAAAAATCATTACCATAACATCCTCTCAATCGCCTGTATCTAATAAAAACACCGTGGCGCATATAATGCATAATTAATCAGCGGATCAGCACGCATGTTATGAATGGGCGAAAATCACACACCATTATTCATACTCCTAATCTCCTTTATCTCTTGTGAAACGGACCTTGGCTACCAGAGCCCATTACAATGGACAAACCTCTGTCGAAAAGCAGCGCAACAAGCGTTAAACCATCTCACAACAGCCGCAAAAACAAGGAGCGCTTTGTCCGAATTTGCAATTTTGCCAATTTTAATATTCATTGCACACTTCCTCGTCGCCGCCGACCGTGTCCGCTCCACGCCGCTGCCACACCCCATGGGAAACCGATCATCCGGACCATGACAATGGCGCATCGATGGCTTACGCAACTGTCCAACAATGTGCCTTTGAGCCGGATCGCGCCGCTTTAATTATGGGAATTAGCGCCTTCGAACGATATTTTGGAAATGTGAGGCGACCTTGTTCGCGGGTTGCGACATCCGGGGAGGGGGAGACAATATGCATTGTGAACTGGGAGGCTCTTATATATAGCAAGTAGGCTAAGACGTTTCCAGTTTCAATTTTTTCTTGGGAAATTTAAGCATGGTGGCCAGCTTGCAGGTGCGTTGAGTTGGGGGCTGGGGGTTCGAGGAGGGTGATGTTTTTGGTTTTAGTTTTTAGTTGCTGTCGTCGGGTTGGTAGTGCCGAGGGTGTTGGCGGGGGTGGTTGTAGGGCACAGGGAGCAGCCTGATTATTATGTAAGTATTGGGGGATGGTTGGGGAATCAGTGAGGTGGTGGCGTAATTTTGGGTTGAAAGGGTTGCGGGGGTTGGGTGTGACGGAGGCTGAAGAGACGGTACGGAAAAGTTAGTGTTGTGTAAGTGCATTGTCTTGGTTTTTCTTGGATGGGTGTCAGTGAGAGTTATGAAAAATGTGGGAATAAAAGTATGAGAAGATAACGTTTGTTGGAAATTAATGGAATGAATGATGACTATATGTTAAAAGTGATGACGGGAATGTGCTTTTTGAAAGGTCTATGAATATGTAAATGTAGTTTTTTCGACCGTAGCTCGTGCGGAAATTTAAATGTTTCGTCTTAAATATCTTATAATACCAATCAACATTTCAAGTTAGTTTTTTGTGCGAAATTAAAGTTAGAAAGATTTTTTGATGGTGAAAATGCTAAGTTTTCTTTTATCTGAATTCCGCATCTTAGCAAAAACCTTTTAAAACTGTAGACTTTCTCGACATATTTTTCCTTTGATTTTTTGTTCTAAAATTATCAGATTTCTTTTACAACATACGAAGTTTTTTTTTAAAGAATTTAGTTTTTTCTTTAAGGTCTTGTTTGGAGTTCTTCATTAACTATATCGGCATTTTTTCTTAAGAATCCTTTTTTTTTAATCATAGTTAACGATTTTACCAGGGATTTTGCGATTTTTTTTCCTTTTTGTTTCCCAATTTCCTGACATTCAAAACTGGATTTTCGTACTATTTCGATTTCTTAAATTTTTTCAAAATTTTGGTTTTATTAAGCATTTTAGACTTTTGTTCTAAATATTTTATTTTATCTGTGAAAAACATAACATTAATTTGTTTTCCTTAAGATTTCTTTGTTTTCGGTTAATAACAGAATTTTCTATATTAACATGTAGTGTTTTCTTATTTTCTCAGATTTATTTCGTCATTTTGACCAATTATGCGATTTTTCCCGAGATTTCCTTTTCTTTTCACGTTGCTGGAAATTTGAAGGTCGGATTTGTTAAGATTTTGACGTTTTAAATTTTTCTAAATTTTTATCTTCCCTAAATTATGAATTGTTTTATTATTTTCTTTTTATTTTAAAAATCCAAATTTTCTGTTTTTATCATGTAGTTTTTAGATTTTTGTATTTTCATAGACCCTGAAAATTTGTGGCACATCTTGACCAAAATTTGTTTATTTTGGTCATGATTTTCAGATTTTTCACACGATTTCTTTTTGTTTTCCAGTTGCTGGAATTCTCAAGACAGGATTTTCATCAAGATTTTGACGCTTCAAATTTTCAAAATTTGTATTTTTATCAAATTTTGGATTGTTTTCTAAAAATTTGGAATCGTGTTTTAAAAATCTGGAAAATATCATAACATTTCCTTTCGAAGCTTTAATTTTTTCACAATATTTTACTTCGCCTTATTTTAAAAATTCGAATTTTTTTTATTCACAATGTGGTTTTTTTGGAATTTACTTATTTTCATAGACCTTGAAAATTTATGTTGTCATCTTGACCAAAATTTTCTCTTGATTTCCAGTTTTTGGAAATTTCAAGAGAGAAGATTTGTGACAAGATTTTGAGTTCTTAAATATTTAAAAGTTTTAGTCTTCCCCAAATTTTGGAAATTTTTTGAAAACATTTGGAATCGTTTTTAAAATTTTGAAAATATCTGTGAACAGACTTTAATTTTTTTCCAACATTTCATAATTTTCGGTTTATTACAGTCAATCTACTTTCAGTACATAGTTTTTTTTGGGTTTTTTCTATTTTCACAAAACTTGAAAATTTTGAGATTTTTTTCCCAAGATTTCTTTTATTTTTCAGTTGTTGGAAATTTTAAAACAGAATTTATCGCAAAATTTTGACTTTAGGAAATTTTAAAAATTTTGGTTTTCCTCAAATTTTTGATTTTTATCTTTAAAAACTCTGAAGACATCTGGGAATAGGTGACGTTGTGTTTCAAGACTTTATTTTTTTTATTTTCGGTTTATTTTAAAAAATCCAGTTTTTCATATTTAGTCCGTAGGTTTTTTTTGGAATTTTTGTATTTTCACAAATCCTGAAAATTTGGACATTTTGACCAAGATTTTGAGATTTGTTTCCAAGATTTCCACTTTTGTTTACCGGTAAGTTGCTGGAAATTTCAAGACAAGGTTTGGACTTCTTAAATTTTTCAAAATTTTGACTTTTCTAAAAATTTGGAATTATTTTTTTAAACAGAGAAGACATTTGTGAACAACATAATTAACATTCTATTTTAAGCCTACATTTTTTCTCAAGATTTTATTATTTTCGATTTGTTAAAAAAATTTGAATTTTCTGTTTTCATCATCTAATTAGCTTTTTTGGAATTTTGTTATTTTTACAAGCTCTTGAAAATTTATTTCAACATCTTCACCAAAATTTTGTGACTTCCCATCTGCTGGAATGTTAAGGACGAAATTTATGGCAAGATTATGTTTTTTTTAATTTTTCAAAATTTTGGTCTTCCTCAAATTTTGTACTTTTTCCAAAACTTGTAACCGATTTTTTTTTAAATTCGAAGACATTCGTGATCAACATAACATTCTATTTCGAAACTTTATTTTTTTTCTCAAGATTAAAGTATTTTTTATTTATATTAAAAACTGGATTTGTTTTCAGCATTCATCCACTTTTTTTGAATTTTCTTTTTTTCCACAGAATTTGAAAATTTATTTCGACGTTTTCTCAAGATTTTGAGACGTGTTTGCAAGATTTGCATTTTTACTTATTTACCAGTTACTGGAAATTTCAAGACAAGGTTTGGACTTTCAAAATTTTTCAAAATTTTGATTTTCGTCAAAATTTTTACTTTTTCTAAAAATTTGAAACCGTTTTTTTAACCGCGAAGACATTTGTAAACAACATAATATTCTATTTTAATCCTACATTTTTTTTCAAGATTTTATTATTTTCGATTTGTTTCAAAAATTCGAATTTTCTGTTTTCATGATAGTTTTTTTTGGAATTTTTTTACAAGGCCTTGAAAATTTATTTCAACATCTTCACCAAAAATTTGTGATTTTTTTCCAAGATTTCCATTTTTGTTTCCCATTTGCTGGAATTTTGAAGACGAAATTTATGGCAAGATTTTGATTTTTTTAATTTTTCGAAATTTTTGTTTTCCTCAAATTTTGTACTTTTTCCAAAATTTGTAACCGATTTTTAAAAAAATTCGAATACATTCGCGAATAACAACATTCTATTTCAAAACGTTTTTTTCTTTTTCAAGATTACAATATTTTTGCTTTGTTTTAAAAATTCAAATTTTTTGTTTTCAGCATTCATTTAGTTTTTTGGAATTCTCTTTTTTTTCACAGAATTTGAAAATTTATTTCGACGTTTTCTCAAGATTTTGAGCCGTGTTTCCAAGATTCTCATTTTTGTTTACCAGTTACTGGAAATTTCAAAACAAGGTTTGGACATTCTAAATTTTTCAAAATTTTGTTCTTCCTCAAAATTTTGACTTTTTTAAAAAATTTGAAATTGTTTTTTTTTTAAACTGCGAAGACATTTGTGAACAACATAATATTCTATTTTAAACCTACATTTTTCCGCAAGATTTCATTATTTTCGATTTGTTTTAAAAATAGGAATTTTATGTGTATCCGTTTTTTTTTTAATTTTCTTACTTTCATGGATTTTTAAATATTTCGATATCTTGGCAAAAATTGTGAGTGTTTCTCAGATTTCAGTTTTTGTGTTCCGGTTGCTGGAAATTTCAAGATTTATGACAAAATTTTGACTTTTTAAATTTTTCAAAATTGTGATTTTCTCAGATTTTGTACTTTTTTATAAAAATTTGGAATCGTGTTATAACAACTCCAAAGGCATTTGGGAACAACGTAACATTTCAAAACTTGAATTTTTTCTCAAGATTTTATTATTTTCGATTTGTTTTAAAAATTTGACATTTCTGTTTTCAACATGTATCTAGTTTTCTTCAGCTTCTTCACCAAAACTTTGTCATTTTTCCTCAGGTTTTCCATTCTTGTTTCCTAGTTGCTTGGAAATTTCAAGACAAGATTTGTGGAAAGATTTTGACATTTTCAATTTTTCAAAATTTTAGTCCTTCTCAAATTTTTGACTTTTTTCTAAAATTGTGGAATCTTTTTTTTAAATTTCGAATATGTTTTTCTCAAGATTTTATTATTTTCGATTTGTTTTAAAAATTGGAATTTTCTGTTTTCATCAAACTGTTTTATTTTTGGATTTTTTTTAAGTTTTTAAAGTTTTTTTTGTAAAAGTATTAACAGAGCTTGAAAATTTATTTCGACATCTTTACAAAATTTTGAGAATTTCTAAGATTTCCATTTTTGGTTTCCAGTTGCTTGGAAATTTCAAGACGAGATTTGTGGAAAGATTTTGACCTTTTCAATTTTTCAAAATTTTAGTCTTTCTCAAATTTTTGACATTTTTTTAAAAGTGTGGATTTTTTTTTAAATTTCGAATATTTTTTTCTAAAGATTTTATTATTTTCGATTTGTTTTAAAAATTGGAATTTTCTGTTTTCATCAAACTGTTTTATTTTTGGAATTTTTTTAAGTTTTTAAAGTTTTTTTTGTAAAAGTATTAAGAGACCTTCAAAATTTATTTCGACATCTTGACAAAATTTTGAGAATTTCGAAGATTTCCATTTTTGCCTTCCAGTTGCTGGAAATTTCAAGACGTGAGATTTATGACAAAATTTTGATTTCTTAAACTTTTCAAAATTTTGATCTTTCTTAAATTTTGTACTTTTTTCAACATTTCAAAACTTCAATTTTTTCCAAAGATTTTATTTTCGATTTATTTTAAAAATTCGAAATTTCTGTTTTTAACATGTAACTAGTGTTTTTCATCTTCATCACCAAAACTTTGTCATTTTTCCTCAAGATTTCCATTCTAGTTTTCTAGTTGCTCGGAAATTTCAAGACAAGATTTGTGCAACAATTTTGACGTTTTCAATTTTTCAAAATTTTGGTCTGCCTCAAATTTTTGACTTTTTTCTAAAAGTTTGGGATCTTTTTTTAAATTTAGAATATATTTGTGACCAACATAACATTCTCTTTCAAAACTTTAATTTTTTTCTCAAGAGTTTATTATTTTCGATTTGTTGTCCTGACTATCTTCCAATTTAAAATTTTTTTGTTCAGAATATTTTTTTGTTAAAAATTTAAACTTCCTGATAAATAATGTTAGTCAGTTTTGAACATTTCAATCTTGTTTCTAAAATTTCATTTTTTGTCCTGCACTCCTTGACAAAGAATTTTTACTAATACTAAAAATTTTGATTTTTTTTTTCATTAAAATTTTTATTTATTTACAACTTTCCGTATTTTTCCGGGAGGGTTTATTGGTTGATTTTCTTGACAGTTTTGTAGTTCGTAGAAGACGGAAATGCATGTTTCGTGTTTCTCTTTATCTATCGTCTGTGTGTAACCTGCCGAGATTTTGTGTGAGAGATAATTTCCGAAATTACCAAACCACTTCCACTGAAATCTTTTTGCATAACTTAAGATTGTCGTGATAGTGATGAAAAGCCATTAAATGTTAAAAAATTATTAAATCTTTTAAGAAAATACACCCTTAGATACGAATTAATTTCATCTCTCTAACCCTCCCTCCTTGCAGCACCACCCCAAATACGCCTTCAAGTACGGCGTCTCCGACCCACATACCGGCGACGTGAAGCACCAGCAGGAGATCAGAGACGGCGAAGTGGTCAAAGGCCAGTACTCCCTCGTGGAACCAGATGGCTCCATCCGCACAGTGGACTACGTTGCCGACCCGGTGAACGGCTTCAACGCCGTCGTCTCCAAGAGCGGCCCCTCCATCCACCTTCCGCCTGTCAAGCACCTCGAGCACGCCGCTCCCGCTATCGTCAAGCAGGTGGCGCCAGTGGTGAAGCGCGTCTACAAGCCAGTGTACGTCAAGCCGGTCCTGCATAAGGCGTACGTGGCGCCGCCGCTCGTCAAAGCCGTGTACGGCTCCTCCATAGGTGAGAACCGAGAAGAATAGACGAGGTTTGTTTTTCAGGCAATTAAAATTGTTGAGGTAATCAGAGCAGCTGAAATGTCAAACCGGTCCATGCCCGAAATTTAAATATCAAGGACCGATGTGGTGGAATAAATTACGGTTGAAATGGGTTGGGAAATGCGGCGGAGGTGGAGGTAAGGACGACGCGATTTCCTGGTGGTTATGTAAGGGCAGCAGGGGGTTTGCTGGGGCAGAAGCGTGACTGGGATTTTTTTATGGGGAGATTGTTGGTATTTGAACAGAGGCGGGATTAGGGGGAAATGTGGACTGGCGCGGTTTTGGCGTCGATGATGATCTTTGCAGATTGGAGACCAGAATAATATGGAGTTGGGTTTATCCTAATATAGATCTCTAGTGAAGGGAAAATTAGATACGTTTAATTTCAAGATATGTATACTTTCCCTGAGATTTTTTTCTACATATTTTTTTAAATTGTTATCCTCAAATTTCGTAGTTTTTTCCAAAACTTTAGAATATTTGGGTGTTTACAATTCTAAAATTTTGAATACTTTATCTACGAACATATCGAGTTCTTTTTTTTTTCAGGAAATTTATGTTCTTTACATTTTTCGAGATTTTTTTTTGACAAAGGTTCTTAGACTCTTTCCAAGATTTGGTTTTATTTAAAAGTTGTGAAGATTTGCTGCCAGATTTCAATTTTTTAAAATTCTGTAATCCTTAAATTTTGTAGTTTTTTTTCCAAAAATTTGGAAGATTCGGTTTTTACAATTCTAAATTCTTTGGTGGAGATTATACGCCCTTTTCTTAAATTCCTACATTTTTCTTGAAACTTCAACTATTCTTCAAAAATTTTGACTTTTTTTTGAACATGTCTTCTTTTTTATTTACGAAATTTGTGTTTTTTTTACAATCTTTGAGAATTTAATTCAATATCTAACTAAAATTCGGAAATTCTTTCAAATATTTTCTCAGGTGAGTCGTGAAGATTTGTGGTAACATTTGCTACCAGATTTCAATTTTTAAAAATTTTGTTACTTTCAATTTTGAAGTCTTTTCCAAAAATTTGGAAGATTTGGTTGTTACAATTCTAAATTCATTGGTGAAGATTATAAGCCTTTATTTTAAGATTTTTACATTTTTCTTAAGATTCTAACTATTCTTCAAAATTTTTGACCTTTATCTTCGAATACATCGTCTCCTTTTTTCTCAGGAAATTTATTTTCTTTAGAATTTTTGAGATTTTAATTCAATATCTTGCCCAAAATTCTCAGATTCTTTCCAAGATTTGCTCAGTTGTGAAGATTTGAGGTAAGATTTGCTGCTAGATTTAATTTTGTTTTCCTCAAATTTCGTAGTTTCTTCCAAAAATTTGGAATATGTGAGTGTTTACAATTCTAAACTTATTTATGAAGATCATACGACTTTATTTTAAATTTTTTTCATTTTTCTGAAAATCATAACTGCTCGTCAAAAATTTTGAATACTTTATCTACGAACATATCGAGTTCTTTTTTTCTAAGGAAATTTATGTTCTTTACATTTTTCGAGATTTTATTTGACAAAGGTTCTTAGACTCTTTCCAAGATTTAGTTTTATTTAAAAGTTGTGAAGATTTGCCGCCAGATTTCAATTTTTTAAAATTCTGTAATCCTTAAATTTTGTAGTTTTTTGTACAAAAATTTGGAAGATTTGGTTTTTACAATTCTAAATTCTTTGGTGGAGATTATACGCCTTTTTTTTAAATTCCTACATTTTTCTTGAACTTTCAACTATTCTACAAAAATTTTGACTTTTTTTCGAACATGTTGTCTTCTTTTTTATTTACGAAATTCGTTTTTTTTTACAATCTTTGACAATTTAATTCAATATCTAACCAAAATTCTGAGATTCTTTCAAATATTTGCTCAGGTGAGTCGTGAAGATTTGTGTTAACATTTGCTACCAGATTTCAATTTTTAAAAATTTTGTTACCTTGAATTTTGAAGTCTTTTCCAAAAATTTGGAAGATTTGGTTGTTACAATTCTAAAAATATTGGTGAAGATTATAAGCCTTTATTTTAACATTTTTACATTTTTCTTAAGATTCTAACTATTCTTCAAAATTTTTGACCTTTATCTTCGAATACATCGTCTCCTTTTTTCTCAGGAAATTTATTTTCTTTAGAATCTTTGAGATTTTAATTCAATATCTGCCCAAAATTCTGAGATTCTTTCCAAGATTTGCTCAGTTTGAAGATTTGAGTTAAGATTTGCTGCTAGATTTAATTTTTTTTTTAATTTTGTTATCCTCAAATTTCGTAGTTTCTTCCAAAAATTTGGAATATTTGAGTGTTTACAATTCTAAACTTATTTATGAAGATCATACGACTTTATTTTAAATTTTCTTCATTTTTCTGAAAATCATAACTGCTCGCTAAAAATTTTAAATACTTTATCTACGAACCAATAGAGTTCTTTTTTCTTTAGGAAAGTTATGTTGTTTACATTCTTCAAGATTTTATTTCAGAAAGATTCTTAGACTTTTTCCAAGATTTAGTTTTATTTAAAAGTTGTGAAGATTTCAATTCTTTAAAATTCTGTAATCCTGAAATTTCGTAGTTTTTTTTCCAAAAATTTAGAAGATTTGGTTTTTACAATTCTAAATTCTTTAGTGGAGATTATACACCTTTTTTTTTAAATTCCTACATTTTTCTTGAAATTTCAACTATTCTTCAAAAATTTTGAATTTTTTTTCGAACATGTCTTCTTTTTTATTTACGAAATTTGTTTTTTTTTTACAATCTTTGACAATTTAATTCAATATCTGACCAAAATTCTTTCAAATATTTGCTCAGGTGAGTTGTTAAGATTTGTGGTAACATTTGCTACCAGGTTTCAATTTTTAAAAATTTTGTTACCTTGAATTTTGAAGTTTTTTCCAAAAATTTGGAAGATTTGGTTGTTACAATTCTAAATTCATTGGTGAAGATTATAAGCCTTTATTTTAAGATTTTTACATTTTTCTTAAGATTCTAACTATTCTTCAAAATTTTTGACCTTTATCTTCGAATACATCGTCTTCTTTTTTCTCAGGAAATTTATTTTCTTTAGAATCTTTGAGATTTTAATTCGATATCTTGCCCAAAATTCTGAGATTCTTTCCAAGATTTGCTCAGTTGTGAAGATTTGAGGCAAGATTTGCTGCTAGATTTAATCTTTTTTTAATTTTGTTTTAAATTTCGTAGTTTTTTCCAAAAATTTGGAATATTTGTGTATTTACAATTCTAAATTTATTGATGAAGGTCATACGACTCCATTTTAAATTTTCTTCATTTTTCTGAATATTTATATATCTGCTCCTCAAAAATTTTGAATACTTTATCTACGAACATATCGAGTACTTTTTTCTCAGGAAATTTATGTTCTTTACATTTTTCGAGATTTTATTTGACAAAGGTTCTTAGACTCTTTCCAAGATTTGGTTTTATTTAAAAGTTGTGAAGATTTGCTGCCAGATTTCAATTTTTAAAAATTCTGTTATCCTTAAATTTTGCAGTTTTTTCCAAAAATTTGGAAGATTAGGTTTTTACAATTCTAAATTCGTTGGTGAAGATTATACGCCTTTTGTTGTTAAATTTCTACATTTCTCTTTAAATTCTAACTGTTCTTCAAAAATGTTGTACTTTTTCATCGAACATATCGTCTTCTTTTTTACTTAGGAAATTTGTTTTTTTTACAGTCTTTGACAATTTAATTCAATATCTAACTAAAATTCTGAATTTTTTTTTAAAGATTTCCTCAGTTGAGTTGTGAAGATTTGAGGTAATATTTGCTGCCAGAAAAAAATTCTTTTTAAACTTTGTTATTCTCAAATTTCGTAGTTTTTTCCAAAAATTTGGAATATTTGAATGTTTACAATTCTAAGCTGATTGATGACGATTATAAGGTTTTATTTTACACTTTCTTCATTTTTCTGAAGAATAAATAATCTCCTCAGGAAATTTATGTTCTTTACAATCTTTGAGTTTTTATTTCAATATCTTGACAAAGATTCTTAGACTCTTCCAAAGATTTGCTTTAATTTATCAGTTGTGAAGATTTGAGGTAAGATTTGCTGCCAAATTTCAATTTTTTAAAAATTCTGTTATCCTTAAATTTGGCAGTTTTTTTCTAAAAATTTGGAAAATTAGGTTGTTGCAATTTTAAATTCTTTGGTGAAGATTTATACGCCTTTTGTTGTTAAATTTCTACATTTTTCTTGAAATTCTAACTATTTGTCAAAATTTTTGAACTTTTTCTTCGAACATGTCTTATTTTTTAATTAGGAAATTTGTTTTTTTTTTTTTATAATCTTTGACAATTTAATTCAATATATAATCAAAACTCTGAGATTCTTTCAAAGATTTCCTCAGTTGAGTTGTGAAGATTTGAGGTAATATTTGCTGCCAGATTTATTTTTTTTTAATTTTATTATTCCCAAATTTCGTAGTTTTTTCCAAAAATTTGGAATATTTGGGCGTTTACAATTCTAAGCTGATTGATGACGATTATAAGGTTTTATTTTAAACTTTCTTCATTTATCTGAAGATTATAATTATTCTCCAAAAATTTTGAATACTTTATCTACGAACATATCGAGTCCTTTTCTCTTCAGGAAATTTACGTTCTTTACAATCTTTGAGTTTTTATTTCAATATCTTGACAAAAATTCTTAGACTCTTCCGAAGATTTGCTTTTATTTATCAGTTGTGAAGGTTTGAGGTAAGATTTGCTGCCAAATTTCAATTTTTAAAAATTCTGTCATCCCTAAATTTTGCAGTTTTTTTCCAAAACTTTGGAAGATTTGGTTTTTACAATTATAAATTCTTTGGTGAAAATTATACGCCTTTTTTAAATTTCTACATATTTCTTGAAATTCTAACTATTCTTCAAAAATTTTGATCATTTTCTTCGAACATGTCTTTTTTTACTTAGGAATTTGTTTTTTTACAATCTTTGACAGTTTAATTCAATATCTAACCA